ACTCAATGATATCTAAAATGTTTCGTTTTTAATAGATTACAGTACTAGAACTGATATCAGGTGTAGTTTTTACTTGTGATTATACTTGAGTGAGTACAGATTTCAATTAGCACAATGCGGTGCGACCTTTTTGATGACAGCCAAGTTGTGGTTTAATAGCAACGTGAATAGCCTAACGTGTTCGAGTTTGATTAAAATTTAAATGAAAGAGCTTCTAATTTCAAAGATTGTTATCTTGTTCAATTATCTTATTACTTCGGTTTGAAAAAAACTTGGTGATCACGGCAAAGTTAAGACTAGACAGCATCTTGTGTTACTTATTTATACAGATAAAACATGAATAAAAATACTTTGTAGCAACATGATATTTACTAAAACATATGCAAACTGCTGTTCAGTTTTTGCAAATTGTTTATCAGAATTGGCAGTATATTGTATTAACTTTTATATAGAAAAACTCCTTCTAAACGATAATCATAAAATGATACATATACACGACATGTTCAAAAATAATTGACGAATCAAGTTATTATTAATATAATATGCTATGTTTATGCATACAAGATTTGGGTCACTCAGTTTTTTATATCACAGACTATACGTAAATAATAATTTTCGTTAAAAGTCGTAATATTAATATACAAAATTCATATAGTCTGTTACATATACTATCGTTTTTATTTTTAAACAACAATAATTATAATTTTTCAGTTATAAAAAATGAATTGTTTGATGTTTTCATAACTTAGTTCATCAATATTATATTATTTTATACATACATTATATATCAATATTTATAATTGTGTGTCTAGAAACTTTTATAATAAAAAATTTGAAATATTATTTTAGTAGAGTGTAATTATAAATGCACAAGTTTTTATTTCAAACTTAAATTTGATGAGATAGCAACACATATAAGGACCTGCATATTTCAATCTAAACTAAAATTAACCCATTCGTTCATATTTAAGCCAGTTCACCGTATACAATAATTAATTTATCGTTGAAATATATAATGTATGACAATAATTTTGAAAAAACTCTTGTAATTTAACATTCATAAGATGCAAGTAATTTAGACCTTTTGATGTTACTTGATTAAACATACAAACTTAAACTTGTAAACATTTTTTTCTTACAATTTTTTATTGAGTTATCTAAATTTAAGCAATGCTTAGGACATGTTAAGAAATTAATACCCTCAAAAAAATTAATGTATATAAATCGGCTACAAAAAAAATTTATCAAATTTATACGTCTATTCAACAATTAAAATAAAAATTTTCTGCTTTGATACTCACTATTACTAAACTAACTCATTAAATATAGGAATGCTTTTTGATGAAAATTAAAAAATCCACTTACTTATAATGTAATAACTTTTAAAATAATGATAAAAAAATCAATTCAAGTTATAATTATGTCGATACTATTTACTACCATCTTACTTTTTATTACGAAATTCTCGATTGAACTCTCACAAAAATCAAACATTTTATTTTAAATTTAAACCACGTGCCAATTTTTTCAGTACCAATTACTAAATCGTTTTTTATAGCTTTAGTTCGACAACTATTCAAATTTTTTGGTTTATTTTAAAGTTCTTATATATTAGCACATGTATAATACATAAGGCATTATTTTTTTTTTTAATTAAACTTTTTCAATTTCCGTTAATAGATATTTCATTATGAATCTATCTAAACGATAAATTTTAAACGTTAAAAGTATATTTTTTGATAATATTCCCATTATTTTTTATTTTCCTGATTTTCATTGATAATAAATATAAATAACACATATTTATAAACAACAAATATGTTTGTCCAAAAATAGAAAATATTATTAAAACGTGAAAATTGAAAATATCAAAATAAATATTATTAATATAATTTAAGGTTTTTACTTATTACTCGTTTCCAACCACTTTTTGGTAATTTTAGTTTAAGTTAAATAAATAGAAATATACAATCCACAAAAGTTAAATTCAACAAGCCTCTATTTATTCCAAAAATTTATTAATATATTATTTATTACACCAATACTTAAAATTTCATTATAGCTTAATAAAATAATAATTTTCCATTCGTTATATTTTCAATGAATTCACTAATAAATTCGTTGGAGTCGTAATTGATTTTCATAATTCATAAGCTTAATAAGATGTGTTTTTATACAATTCCTAAAGATATTACGAAGAAAATCTTTAAATGTCAACAATATTACTATTGATAAATTATATAAAAAAATTAAACGTAAACATTATAGTGGCATTATGAAAATAAAATAAAAAATTACCATGAATGAATGCTGAAAAATGCTTTACAAAATAACTAAAACGTAAAAGTTATAATCTCAATAATTTTTTATGAGACTCATTTTTGAAAAGAATCAAACAATGAAAAGCATAATAATTTTAGTACTCTTTAAGTTAAATTCTCAAAGTGGCCGTTGTTTTACCTCACGCTTAGTTTTTTCAAACTCTTAACTTTTAAGTGTTACTGAAAAACAAAAGAAATGAAACTTTTGCGTTGGATGTCAACATTTTTTGATGACATTTGTCGAAGTTGAAAAGTTTTTTGCTTTTAAAATAGTTCTAAACAAATCCACAAAAAAGATCGAGTAAGCTAAATAATAGCACAGGAAAAAATTATTGTATTATATCCGACCTTAATACAGCAGAGATAAGTTGAGTAGTCTTAGCCCATTCATCCAAGTAAATTTGTAACAATTGTATATTGGTTTATTAATATATTCATCATAATAATTATTATATATTGATAATATATTTATATTATATATCAATATTGTTAAAAGGAAAAAATTAAAAACATCATTAATATTATTCTGTTACTGGTGTAAATTCAAAATTTGAGATTGATTGATTGAATGTTTTGCTAGAATACATAAACTAATAACATAACTTTCTTTTTTACTAAATATAATATAAAGGTTTTAATAATATTTAAACAATAAATATTATTATTCGTACATTTTTGTAATAAAAAAAAAACTTTTTTTTAAACGGTACAACTATGTTTCAGAAACATTTTAATATATATTAAATTGACACGTGCCATCCAATCAAAACTTTGTGTAACGTTAAAAATGGTGTGAAAAACATATTGTATTATTTAAAACTGCGTTATTGTCAAACGCAGTAAATAAAAATAAATTCAGCAGTTTCAAGTAATATTTACGTTAAGCTATACCTGAGAACCGTTTAAACTCTCTCAATTTGACACCAAAATTTTACTGGAAATAAACGAAATCAACTAATCGAAATACTCTTATTTAATTTTTGATCTTAGCACATATCGTAACATAAATCTAGAGGGAGGGGAACAAAGATTTTCAAATATACCATCAAAGTTACGTTGTAATTCATCGGTTTATTTAATTTATAATATTGTATTAGTATTATTCGTTATAAGTAATGACTCTCGTTAATATATAATAATAAAAATAAATGTCGATAGTAATGAACGTAAAAAATGTATTCTGAATTATCTAAATATCGTATAATATGGTGAAAATAAAACAAAAAATTCAAAGAAAAGCTTCTTAGCGTTCGCCCTTTTTCAAATCTCTTGATATACACCAATACACGCGATTTTTACAAACTATAAGAGGACTTGAACCCTTTTTTTATTCATGCCTGTGGATCTATTATTTATTTGTTCACGTCAGCTAATCAATGATTAACCGGGAGTGGTATAACATCGGATGACTTTGTTATCGATTTGGGAATTGATATGTGTCCTCTCAACACGACCTAAGTACCAAACCAGGTATGATAAAAATATAATAATACAGCTAGCATAGAGAAACGGCTCCAAGACGTACACGAACGTCATCGGTCATTTATCACTTGGGTTTGTGTTTTGGTGTTATAGAAGAGGACTTCACACAAATGTCACCCGGGATATCCACACACAAATAACGTATTTATATGCTCGTACCGCCACGAAACCGTACAACTTCCCTGCTGTACCCTGTCCAACAGAGTAGACCATGAACGGTGGAGATTTGAACCGAACACAATCGTCTATTCACAAGCCACACATAATTCACACAAAGGATGACACAAATCCTATAACTCATATACAATAATATATATAATAGCATCAAAATGCTCTCGTTTCATACACTCACACACGCGCACGATCTCACAAAAGTATTTATATATTTTTTTTCATCTAGGAATTATACCTGTATCATCTAAAATATATCAATTTAAAAGTGTGTATATCTAAAAATAAGAAACTCCAAAGTAGTCTTTTGACTTAACGTACAAATCAAAACGTTATACCCTCAAGTATTGAAATTTGTATTAACATTATGTTGTTCTTCAAAAAGTGAAGAACAACATAATGTTAATTTATCAATCATTCATTGATTTTAACCCCTAAATCTGAACTCGTATTGCCCCACAGATTACTATTTAAAGCATCACAATATAATTACTATATTTTCTAACGTTTATTTTTTTATAACCTTCAGTTCCATATTATAATAAACGCAACTCATCTATCTTATAAAAACCACTATGTGAAGTGTATTGGGTAACATTTACGTTGTGTAGGATTTTGTTTATGTGAAATTCTCTAGACCCCTTGAATTTTTTTCATCACTTTTATGTCATATCTTTTAAAGCTCGTGCTCTATTCAGATGAAAAACAAATGAAAATGTGAATAGAAAAATATTAACAACTACAGTTTTAATGAATTTTTTCTGGTATAACATATGAAAAGAGTGTTATGAGTATTCAATTTTAATTTTCAATATTGATAGTTCATCAATTTTACGAGATCATTTATTTTTGTCGGTAAAATTAAACAATCGATTAAAAAATTATTAAGTAAATAGTCACAATAAATTTATAAAAATTCAATTTACATTAATTTAATAGAAATCATAAATACGTAGATTTTTTGTATATCACTAAATTTATAATTATATTCTTAAATTTATACTTATAAAATTGTTCATGACTTACAATTAAGTTGCTAAAAGTAGTCCATTACATTCTGCTAGCAGATTTCACCTAAAAAATAGAAATAATAATATTAAAATTACAATAAAGAAAAAATATCAAATAAAATAGTATTTTCAACATTTGTTTTTCTATTCAAATAAAAATTTCGATATGATAAAGTTATAGTAAATAAAAGTTGTGTGATAAACGCAGTTATAATTCTCGTTACACGTATTATCGTTGAATTGAACATAACCTGTATTCATTATCTACAACATCTAATAAGTACTAATGTTACTTCACAATTTTTTAAAGTGTTTTTCATTCGTGGTTTTAATGGGTTGATAGGACTTAGTAAAAACTTTTAACACGGATTGTAACCAATAACATTTTGATTGCAAATGAATAAATTTTTTGCGTGAGAAATTTTTTAAGCGAAATGGAGCTATTGCTTATCATTATAGTGACCAACTATTCATTATATAGTCTGTCAGAAATACTATTAGGACTACGTGGCAGTGCTTGACGTACACTGCCTCGGGTTCGAAACTCGGTCACGGGCGGCTTCATTTGCCGAACGAGAGATCAGTTCGGTAATTAGAGTCGCCCTCCCTCTCTCCGGCGATGGACTAACCACCCGTCCTGGAGTATCAATGGTTTAGAAACCTCCTCCTTTGGGGGAGGCCACTATGGCCCTTAATGGGCGTATAAAGCGTTAAAAAAAAAGGTATACTATTATTAGAGCTATAAGTAGGAAAAATGACTGGATTTTGAATTAAACTAAATTTTTATTAAAATTCGTATAAATGAATACTATTTTATTCCTTTCGACAATAACAGTTTTTAATTGCTTTTAAAATTATAGTATTTTGAATTAAATTAAAGAAAAATAAAACACATTTTTATATTAAAAACACCTTAATCTTAAAAGGACAGTGTAAAAGTTATATTCTTCTTTTTCTTCATAAAAAAAATAGAAATCATAGATCCTACATTAAACTCTCTTGAAACTAATATGGTAATTTTTTTTTTATTTATATAAATTTTAACATTATTTTATTATTGAAAAAATTCACGACATCTAATATAATAATCATTACTTTATTAAAAATTTCATAGGAAAATAGAAACAAACTTCTTTATTAAAAACAAATTTACTGTATAATATAATTAATATAGGGAATTTTATTCAGTTTCTGTCTTTCAAAATACTTTTATAACTTAATTGATAACTATTTGACGAAGTTTGATTTTTAATTTCTTCCTAGCAAAGAAAATATGTAATATTACTTCAAAGAAACTTTTCTAACTATATGAGAAGACTTTATAAATAATTTAAAACTACCAATTAAAAAACCCTTTGTTTTTATGTGTTCTAAAATAACTAAGAAATGGTCAACTATTTTTATTAAACATCAATGGATTTTTGTTTGTTTTAAACAACCAAGGTTTATAGTCGTAAAAAATGTTACGTACTATAGTTATTTCATATTATCTACGAGCGTTTAAGTATGTACCATAAGTCGGGGGGTCAATATTGGACTGCTTTTATCTTAAGATTAACTATGTAAATCTATTCGTACTAAATGCTGTAAAACATGGTTACTCTGCTTTAAATCGTATAGTAACACATGTTTACATAAAACTACTACTATTTCGTTCAAAAAATCACTCATTTACTAATTTTTGGAGATAACTTATATTCCATAATGTAACACTAACACATAATACCTGAAACTTATTAACATTGTTCCACTCAAGTGTTAAGGTTTTTGCACTTTATTAAAGTTTCGACAATACTTATGTCGTACAATTTTTTTAATGAAATTACAACACGGAACACTACATTTCTGTTCTTTTATAAAAAAAAAAATTAGCAAATACTACTTAATATTGTTAAGTGCTCAACTGTACTTCGTGAAAATTTTATGCTATTAGGTGTACATTTAAATGTATTTGTACTAGAAAATAAATTAACACCAATTTTTTAATATTCGTTTTATAGCGATGATTCATATAATATTTCAAGTATCTGAAATAGAAAAAACAAATTTTGAAATTTTAATGTACTTGCACCATTTTATTAATATTCCTGATCGTAATTTTTGTTATTTTACTGATAAAATCTGTAATAAAATCTATTTTATCTGTGTATTACAATTTCTTTGTGTTAAGTATAAATGTTTTTTTTTCACGTTTTTAACGCTTTAAGAATTATATTGTACAGTACAAGTTGCTTAAACTTCTTGCTCCAAAAAATTTTAAATTATTATTTTTTTGACATTCAATTTCGAATTCTGCAACTTTGATTTTTACAATTATATTTCACTTTAATAAATTATTAGGTTATACGTATAAAAAAAAACTAGTCATCAAAAGTCTCGAGAATAATACTAATGCTAATATTTTTTGAAATATTTAAGTACGAATAATTGGAATAGTTAGTGTTCATAAGAAAACTCAAAATTAAGTGAACAGTTAAGTTATGAACAAAAAATGATTGTACAAAGTCAATTAACAGTAGAATTAATTTTCGAAGTAATTTTTTCTAATTTTAACAAGAGTTACCACGTACAAGTTTATTTAAAGAATTTTTGTACATAATAATATAAATTTTCAAGTTTATATCATAAATCTTCCTTGTCGTCAATATCACGTAAACAATGAAATTGTACCGAAAAAAACGTGCCGTCATCAAAAACACACCGGACGCAATTTATGGCATCGTCAGAAAAAATAAAAAAATCAAATAAACTTCAAATATTCAACAGCTTCTTACGTAATTAATTTTCAAGATTCATAGAAATTAGCTCATAATGAAAACTGTTATCGTTATAATAATATTGTTAACGGAGTACTAATACTGTTAATACCACGTGACACGTATAAACATAAGCTTTAATAGACGAATATCTCTTAAATAAACAGCTCGTCCAATTTATAATATCTTATTTTAAATTAGTCTTGTTATAGTTAATTGGCGATTTTATAGACACTGGAAAAAAAATTTTCATTCTGTTTTTTAATCTAATGAGAGAAAATAAATTTTAAAAATTTGTTGTAAAATTAAAACAATAAATAAATCTCCAGACTTTTGAAAGTATCAAATAAAACTTGATAAAATTTTATACGAATTAATTTGAATAAAACTTAAAGATGGCGATTACTCAATTAATGTGATGAATAAAAATGCTAAAAAAAAAAACAAAAGAAACGAAAACTTTGCGTTATTAATTTTATTCTACTCATTTTTTAAAAGACAAGCACCTTTATTTTAGGTCAACTCTTGATTTATGAAAACTTTATCGAGTAAAATAAATTGTGCTTCTAATTTCAACACTATTAGGATGGTAAATACAGGATATTTAAATAAATATTTGTCTACCTAGATTATGATATAACTACACTGTTTGTACTTCATTATAACTTTTAATGATACATTCATAATGTTGTAAGTTAAATATAACTTCAAGGTACAAAGAAGATCTTTAAAGTGTTTTTTTCTTTTTTTTTATTATTGTTTACTTAGAGAAATGTAAAAAGCAGAGCTGCGATCGTTTTGACTTTTAAAATCTATAATACAAATACATTGAATAAAAAATCTTCTTAAAGAAAGTGTTTCAACTTTTAAATAGGAAAGTAAACATGTTACTTTTATTTCTCGAGTTCTTATTTACTAAATAAATACAAGGCTTTTAACCAATACAAAAACTTTTCTCAAAGTTTTTCTTAATTGACAAGTTATTGAAAATTTAAAATACGTTATTGTAAGAATACAATAAATAAAAAATCTTATAATTTGACAAATATTTAGTAAACATTGTTGTATTATGACTTTTACGAACGGCATTGATGAACGCAATTTCAGCTTTTAGAAGCTAAAAATTGATTCACGTGGCTTGTAGTGCTAAACCGCGTTCCCTTTTTTAATCTCCAAGAATACCATGAATTAATTTAACAAAAATACATTTATAATTTTTTATAAAAATAAAAATTATCGGGTGTTGTAGCTTAAAGATTTAAAATTTACCACACGAGTATCTTTTTTTCTGAAAACCCTTAAAAATGAGGGTAATTTCCAAACCTGATCGGATTTTTCACGTGTGTACTGTGCGGCGTTTGATTTTTTTTATTGTTTCCGATTCTAGAATATAAAAACTAGAAATCAAGGTAAAATGTCATTGATTATCACATCTAATACTATTGCAAACCGGCTAACTGATTTTTTTTTTCTACCGACGACACACCATGAGGCGTAAGCGCGCGGGCGCCCAAAACGTATACGCTGCGTGTACCACACCGTGCGAAGGCAATGACGATCACCAACTGGACCGCCAAAGTTACCGTTCGCCGATCTCGCTTTCTTACCCACTACAAAGCGCTGCTCTTCGGTTGACGATAGCAGCATCAGCAGATTTCATTCCCCTTCAAAATCCCTTTTTTTTTCTTTAATGGTTCTCCAAGTGAACCAATCGCCCCTCTCGACACAAACCATAACCTACCCAAATTACAATAATGTTAACCACACATATTTGTACTTTTGTGATAGTGGACATATTGCGACATCATCTATTATAAAAAGTAACTGTAATAGCATTTGACAAAGATTTTTGGTCTAACAGACTGTATTTTTTGTTACTTAAACATAAATATTGTTCATTTGATTATTCCTATTAGTCTTCTAAAAACTTAATAGTTTCAATGACAAAAATCTCGGGAAAAAAAAACAAAAAACTGTGATCAAATAAAATCAAAATATAAATTAAAATCCAGAATTACTTTTCACTTTTATTCGTATTCGAGAGTCTAGTATAAAAAATGTTTCAATTTTCATAAATTGTCTAATTTATGCAGACTCATGCTTAAACCGAGAAAAAAATTCATTAAACGGTTCTTCAAACTAATATTAAAAACACCAAAAAATATAATATTAAAATTCTGTAGTAAAATACTAGTAATTTTACCGGTATTCTCGAAAAAAAAAATTGAAAAAAATTAATACCCATATTTATAACCTCAATAAAAGTTAGAAACTTTGAATGAAAACGTATTTTATTTAACTGATCGAATTATTTTTTTCTTCCTTAGTCTTATGAATGTATTTATTTTCACTATTACAGCTCTAATTAAATTTCGTTGTATTACTAAAACGGTAGAAATATTCTAAATAGAATTTTAGGAAAAATATTATAAATAAGTATAAGACATTTGTAGCAACGACATTGTACTGATATTTTACTAAGCTGTTAATATAATATTATTAAAAAAATTTATAAAAGTATTTTTATGATTTCAAACTATTGATATTAGGTACTATATATATAGATATGCTCTATGGCATAAATCTAGTTGAATAAGGCATCATCATTTAAGCTAACATTTATTTAGAAATTGGTAAAACTAGAGTAATTTGGTGATTTATAGTATATAATTGAGTTACTTTTAATTATTTTTAGAAGTAATTTTTAGCTTCGATGTGAAGCTGAGAAGATATAGGTTTTACTATGATGTGTTTTTTTTTTTTGTGTCTGTTACCACTTATTCTCAGATCTCACTAGACCGATTTATTTCAACGATACATCAAAAGATCACAAATCGATCTAGTCGAAGATATTACCCTCAAATATTCAAAAAATTTCCCTCGTTCCCTGTAAATAGGGAAAATCTCCAAAAAAATTACAAATTTAAAAATCGCTAATTTTCGAAATTTTTTCAATATTTTTTACTTTAAACTGCCATAACTTTTTCAAAAATGAACAAATCAATATATTTTTTTTTATAGATGCATAATATCCTTACCTATCATTTTTTTTGTAAATCTGACACTTAATCTGCCCACAGGGGGGAATTTAAAAAGACAACTTTTTCACAAAAAATTAACATTTTCAATTTAACTTTTGAAAGTGTTGCGGAAAGTCTGACATTTTATATATATCTTAAATTAATACTAATGTTATTTACTATATTATGGAAAAAAAAATTTCGGATTTTATTTTGTCTTCACAGTGAAAATAGTTACCGAATACTATTTTTGTGTGAAAGTTCTCGATTTTATTTTTACGTTTTTAACTTATTGAAAAGTGTATGGATCAACACAATTTTTTATGAGATATAATATTTATATCACTTTTTCATTCGTCATACTTTATCCTAATCAGGATATTAATAATGAACTAGCAGATCATGTAGCTTTTGGAATAATCCACCAATTTTTTAAAATTAAACACTATCTAAAAATTTGCATCAAGGCATTTTTTTTTATAGTGATTTTAATCACTGTCTGATATCATTATACTTGATCCAACTATGCCACGTCACCACTGTGCCGTGACCTCCCTGTGTTGGGTTTTTTAACTTTAAGTTTTGATTTTTATATAAATTTATATATTCTATTATTATCTTTAATTTAAATATATTTTTGACTATTACAATATACGGTGAAATTATTAACAGCACAATATTTTTTTTAATTCTTTAACTATAAATTTTCAGATTCCACAAATAATTTCTATGAGGTAAGTAATGAAATAAATTCACGTTTGAAGATTATATGTATAAATGTCTGCTCGCAGTATTAGATTACTTAAGTAGAGACATCATTAGCCCTACACAAACCTGATTAATTATTGGCCAAATACAAATTATAATCCATTAAATTAAAACATCTACATTGACGTTTACATATCTTATTTTGAATGAAGATCATTAAACGGAATTAATTAAAACTCGTAGTAAATTTCTCGATAGAAAATAATGTTTTATATATTATACAACTGTATGTTTTAAGATAAAAAAACCAAAAAATTTTATATTATTTTATTTTATATTTTTAGATATAATAAAAAGTAATTCATATTATTTTAAAGTAAGTGCAGTTAAAGAAACTTTATAGTAAACACTTCTAATATAAAATGCTGATGACAATTAAATGAAACCGATAAAGTTTTATTTATTGCCATCTAAGGATAAACGACAATACTCATCTTGTAGTAACGTACTGTAAAAAGCATTAATCTTAAACATCATTCAGTGTCAATTATCAATGGCGTATGCTTGATTGTCGCATATATGTTCTAAACGATAATATAAGTTGTTTTCTCTGTATATGTCGTTCAATCGTTTAATGTTTCATATACATTTTGTGGAAAATTTACTACGCACTAATTTTCTAAATACCTGATTTTTGTTAATAATAATCAGACTCTTGATAATACACAATCATGAACACTGCAACATGATGAACATCTATTCATCGCAGTGTTTTTTAACCTGAAGTTCGTATAAAGTGCGATTAAAAGACAAACAATCAATTGAAAGGTTGTGACAATAAAAAAGTTAGGTAACACTAATTCCTTTAATATATTTATTTAATTTTCATATTTCTTTTATTATTTTTATGTTAAAATTTAATATAAATTAAAGAAATCTTTTAACAATAATGAGTAAATATATAAAGTAAAATAATTTTATTTTTACAGTTGAAATACATTTTATTTATCATATAAATAATACATTTATTACATTATGCTATATTTATTCTTACATTTTATACTAAAGAAAATATTAAAATATATTCTTACGTACCGTGGAATTACAAAATCATTAATAGTTGTTGTTAGAGACTAAAATCGTTTGATTTGTTTGAGGTTATAAAAACCCAAAAGATAATATTTAACCGATTTTCAGGATACAGGTTTCAATCCCAAGATATTATTCAATTTTATTTTCCATTAGTAATTTATATTAGTCAGCATGATTTAAAATCAAATTACTATTGAATTACAGTAGTTCTAGATTAGTTTAATAGGGGAGGTATACAGGGTGTTCAGTAAGTCTGGAAACGGGTTTCTATTGTTCTCATTGTTTGTAACAATGAGAACAATAGAAACCCGTTTCCAGACTTACTGAACACCCTGTATACCTCCCCTATTAAACTAATCTAGAACTACTGTAATTCAATAGTAATTTGATTTTAAATCATGCTGANTAACGACTCATAATGATTTGGATTTGGTATTTTTTAATTAATTCTTTTCAAACTGAAAAATATGATAAAGAAAATAAGATGAAATTGCATGATATAAGACTTTTTTTTATTGTCTTATAATAAAATTTTAAAAGCAATATATTTATTTATTAACTGAACCTCATCAGTTGAAACATGAAGTAGTTGAATTATGCGTTACATTAATAATAATTTTTGTAAGCCATATAATGGCACACAATATTATAATAATTGAAAGGTATTTATGCAAAGATGGTCAAGACAACAGTGGTAATTTTTCAGAAAACTAATAAAAAATCCAAAACTAAAAACTTTTTTGACATTTCATTATTTTACACAATTTATACAGTTGAATACTATTTCATACTTTGTATTATCTTCGCAGTTTTCTACCCAGTATTCTTCATTTTATTTTATTTTTATTTTCTATGTATTAATTACATTTTTTTTAGTTGAATTTAAAAGAAAAATAGTTATAAATAATTTTAATTACTGTAACGCCCTCTCTTGGCTCTTTGGTTAATTTCCAAACTGGTTTCCATTAGCTGTCGGCGCTATTGTTATCGATTATTTCAATTTTACAAAAATTACTAAAAGATTTTGTATATTAGCAAATATTTTCACATAGTATAACAATGGTTATGATCTCTTTCAAATTTATAGTATTCTACTTTTATTTCTGTTGTTCATCTTATCGACTATTTATTTTCACAATCATGTATTTCGTTTTTTGTTCATTTACCTTTAGACCTATTCTGCTGTATCTATGCATTTTTAGAGTTGGTTTTTTACTACATTATTCGAATAAGCAATTGTACATTTGTGGTTCATAACTTTTGTTATAAATGTTTGTCAAAATCAATGTGTCTCTATAAGTTGCCTAATGTAAATGGATCTATTGTTGATTTTTATAATCTAAAACCATATGGATAATCACTAAAAATTTCTTTAGCGAATTGTTGTATTTTATTTGGAAAAACATTATATAGAATTTTGTATGTTATGTTTATTACTCTATAAATATGGCAGTTCATCGAACATATACAATATTATACTAAGTTTTAAGTATAAAACCGTGTTATTTATAATACTAGTTTGTATCATAAAGTCATTTTATTAATTCACATTAGTATGAACTACTAAAACATAATATAACTATTTATAAATATAAAATAAAATTTTTCTAGCTATTTTTAATGATTTAAGTAATATAAAATAGTCCTAATGTAGTTCTTTTTAATTTAAAAGATCTACTATTTAAAAATATACAAATTTTAAAGCTTTATTATAAATTTATAGTAAAGTATTCATTAATCAACATCTTCGAAGGTAAAATAGCTGGGAAGTAACCAAGAGGACGCACAAGGAAACAATATTTTGAAAATATCCTGAAACTCATGAACTGTGCGTCTTTTGTTTCGCTGAAGAATTTGGTATCAAACAGAGAGGAGTGTCTTCAATGACAAAGCATTGCCTTTAATAGATGATGATGATGATGATGATGATGATGATGATGACTATAAATTTATTATTTTGTTTACACTAATATTTTAAGTTAAATTTTAAACAATCGAAGTTTCTATTTCTTGTTAAAAATAAAAAGTTTTATTTTAAATATTAGTAGACTAACTAGAAAACCAAATTTTTTTGACATTTTTACTAGTCGTTTGTTAATATTTGAATTACAATTACTTATGAAAAGACCCAAGTATGTACTCAGTTAAACTAACACAGTTTATATTACTTAAGAAAAACTATGACAAAGTCACCTTCATAAAACAATTTAAACTTGCTGCAATTATGCTTAAACAATTTTATTTCTAATTAACTTAACAATTTATTATATTTATATTCTAAAAATATAATAAAATTGTTATTTAGTAAACTAAAATTCGACATTTAAGAACATAGTAAAATAGATCAGTGCTTTGTAATTATCATACTTGGGTAGACTAATTTTTTAAATCATTACATCAAACCTAACATTTTTTTTATATCATATTTTCATGTCTACAATCGTTTAAGTTTCAATGATTGAGTAGATAAAAATGCTTTGGTTATTTTACTTTCTAGCAATCACATTTTTTATATGTTAAAAACCCTAAGTCTATACTTTAGTTTTAACTAAAATGAAGAGACAATGTAATTTAACCTTTTTATTTCACTTCGTACTCGGTTTGTAAGAACTTTTTTGTTCAGTTTTTTACTTAGTACTCTGTTACTAAATGTATTTACTACTCGGTACATCTCTAACTATTACCATTAGTATTTTATATTATAACAGTAAATTACATGTCATGAATGATAGAATATATGGAGAATAAAAGAGTATTTGAAAAAACATGATAAGCGTATACAATTTTTTTTTTTTTTGCTTTAAAATGCAAAGTACTTCCTAATCATGTCGCTTTGTTGTAATCATTATTGTCCACGTATGAAACACTAGTTTATCAAGACTTTTTTCAATACAGAATTTCTTATTTTGATTGAACATTTACAAAGGCCTTTCATTTTTTAAGTAAAACAATAAAAAACATTTCATTTAAAATAATGACTACTCGTATAAATTTTTCAAGGGTTTTTTTTATTTGGACTATTGAATTACTATCAGTAATTAGTAATTGGTCATAAGGATGATAAGTTAACAACTTTTTGTAATTGATTATTGGTTTCAAAAATACCTAACAATCATATATTAAGCATAAATTTGTTTAGTTTAATAATCCCAAAAATATAATCAACAATATTGTCAATACTATTGTGATTACTGTTTTATTTTATATTTAAAGTTAGTTATATATCGTGGACCCATTCTTTCTCAATTAAAGTAGGTTGTTTTTAATTAATTTTGCTCAAAACTTTTCCCATTAATTTGTGTAGATTCTAATTTCCTAAAATTTCATACAAACACTTCTTCTTTTAAACGCTTTCACACTTTTTATATTACTTTATATTGTTATATTATACACGACCTCATAAAGTAGAGAAAAGTTAAGGAAAACGTTATTACATTCAAGACTATATAAATTAGAATAATAAATATCTATTAGCGCATTTTTATATTAAAAATTCTAATTATTAAAATAATGAAAACGGATTTTCCTTAAAATTGTATTGAAACATGGACATAAATTATCTTTGCTTAAAAAAAATTAAATAGTTAACCTTTGCAAAGGCTCAGAACATAAAAAACACTCAAAATAAAAAAGCATAATATACCATGATATTTTTCAAAATTAAAAATGTTTTTTATATTGCTCGGCAATTAAAAAAATAGTATACATTTTTTTATGGGACATTAAAATAATACTTGCACCAAGTGCTAAATTACCTAAAGATTTTACTGAATTGAGCCCTTATAATGCATATTTTTGGATGTATTAATATATTAAATCTAAAGATCATTAAATTATAAATATCAAATTTATATTTAATAAATTACTATTTTAAGCCTATACTACTTTAACGTAAAACTTCTATGCTGCAACATTATTAAAATAACTTGTTTGT